AGTTTATAGTGTGATCTTAATCTTAAGCTGGATTTTTTATCGATCGTTCATTATCGTACACCTTTGTTTATATTTTTACCGGAGCCTGAGCATATTTGTCTCTTGTCGAAAAGCTTCTCCCACGTTCAAACCCATAACATGTTCGACTAGTAACCCGTCTACACATGTCATAATTAGCTTGTAAGGACACGAGTGTGCCCGATATCTGTTGGTGCATTTTTTTTGTGGTCAACGGTAATGATTTAGTGGCACAAATAGATTTTGGAACCAAAGTAAGAAGACCCAGAATTTTGGATCTTAATTATTGTCAATCTTGATTATTGCCAATTTGCGGAGTTGGTCGTGGATCAACCTCCATGGTGAGATCACCAAGGGGGGGTGGGGGTGGAGGGGGGGCAACCCCAAACCAAATTTTGATCTATTTAGAAATTTATATTCTTGTAAAATTCTATGAAAAAATTGAAATCCTTATATAATTCAGTTTTGCCATAATTTATCTCCTTAGGCTTTATTATTATCATAAAAAAGAGAGATGGGCTACAGAAGATATGAGTGCAATTTTATCTTGTAATTTTTTTTCATAATAGTAAATTACTGTAGCAGCGGAAGAAAACTTAGTCTCACATTAAGAAGAACCTCTATAAGTCTTATGTATTATTGAGTGTTTATTTTTCTCTCTTTGAATTGATTGTTCTCAATGGAATAGAATTAGAATTTATAATTCTCAATACACGCTTGAGTGACTAAACAACACCAGAGAAGTAATGGTGTTAAGTCCTCAACCATGATGTAGAACTTCCAACTCTCACAAGAGGATCTGGCATTTACAACAAATAGACTTGACCAAGAGGAAATCAAACAATATAATGCCTAACATACCACCAAAAGTGATGAGGGAATAAGCTTTAACAAACACATAATAGAAGAGATTGAAAGAACATAAGGACGTGAATAGATCCAGGTAAAATACTAGAGATTTAGAGGTTTAGACATAATCTCAGCAAACCAGAATTTTGTGGACTAAAAATCTCCGGTTGATATTTTAGTTGGAATAATATGGGCTATTTATAGGCTCTTCAAATCTAGGACTCCAAATCCTATCTTAAGTAGGAAAGCTTATATCAACAGAAAAGTCAGAAACCTAATGTAACTAGGAAAGCTTCATCACTATGACAACAATCCCAACTCTAGTTGGAAACCTACAGAAGTACTAAAATAAGAGTGCAAATAAAGCTTAAAAGGAAGCCTTCCAGCCACATTCCACCCTTCTGCAGTGCAATTCCCCGAGTTAGTTAAACAACACCACCAAAAAATTGGAAAAAGATACTAAAGGAGTAGCATTTAGAAAGTAGGAAAAACAACAGTGCAGGACTAAAGCAATGTTCCAAATATCAGATAAGTGTTACAGTAGAGAAATAATAGCATGTCGGCATTTCACAAATTGCTATACAAGTTAACGAGCTGTGAAAAGAAATGCATAAACAGGATTCACAATATTCGATGTTACAAATGCTGACAGGAAGGCCAAAGACAAAAGTAAAGGCAAAGAGGAAGTAAAATTTTGAACTGCATCGAGGAAAAGTACGGTAAGTGGCGAGGGGCCAAACTGAAACTGTAGATGGAGATTAAACTCAGAACAGAATTCCAGCCTAATGACTGTTCAACCCCCATTAGCATGCTTCTGTCCCATGGACTCCATATCCAACTTCTTGACACATTCTGATCACAATATGAAATCGCATTCTCAGAGTAGAGAAGATTTTGATGTGAGCTATAGGAAGTATTGTGCTCTGAACACTAATGAAGGATGGGTTATGTACGACGCTTTCAATAAAATTCTTGATGGGCATGCTCTATTTTCACTCATAACAAGTCTATTGAGGAAAATGCTCTCAATCTCCTTAACAGACTCCGAGTCTGTAACCAATAGATGTCAATATCTTTATGCAATATGCACACAGAGTAATACAAAAAAGTAGCTGAAAATATTTAGATAACCAAACATTTGAACAGACTAGAAGTCATTGCATCACCTGCCACCATAAAGTTTATTATGCATTCCCAAAATGAAAGAACATTGTCTCAACTTTTATTAAATCCTTAAATAAATATACATGCATCAGTTTAAATATTTAAAACATGATTTTTCTTTCTGAAACGAAAAGGGAGTTGGGGGGGGGGGAACAAAAAACCTCTATTGATGTATACATTTCACTGAGATTCAATTTCAGATGGTGTCTTTGCCACAATGGACAATGCATGTAGTCCATTCTGCAATTCGTCTTGCAACAAGCTGTAAATTAATCTATGCCTCTTAACCAAGCTCTTGCTTTCAAATTCTTCAGAAACCACTTTCACATTAAAATGCGTCTCCCCATTGCTTCCCTTAACCCCAGCATGACCCGCATGCAGGTAAGATATATCCTCAATTTTTAATTCAATAGGTCTCAGCTCTTTTTCCAATATCTCCTTTATCCTCGTCCCTCTATTCCCTAATACACTACCATTACCCACACCAGACTCCAAAGCATTGGGACTTTTTTTAACATTTGATTTACCATTCCCACCATCATTCTTCAACCCCAAATCAGAATTCTCAGCTGGGTTTTTTTCTGCGACTTCATTTCTTGAATCACCAGCCTTTTCACTTTCGATAAACAATTGCAGAGCCTTCTTCTGCATCAACTTCAACATATTCAAGAACCCATTATTCCTAGATGGAGTCAAACTCTGCTGCAACCCAAGAAGCACCACAAAATCAGGTGAAACTCTCAGAATCTCCTCCACAGGCCGGCCAGAAAGGCCCTGGACTAGCAAAGCAGCCAGCCCTTTAGTGAGCACTGAATCAGAATCCGCCTCAAAGGTCACATTTTTATCATTGTCAAGATATGCTCTGACCCAAACCTGTGAAACACAACCCTGCACTTTATTTTCACTTGTTTTATATTGAGATTCCAAAGGATTCAAATTTCTTCCATAGAACAATAACTGTTCATACTTGGCCTTTGGTTCTTGAACTGCCTGAAACAGTTTAATGATATCTTGAAGCTTTGGAGGCAACTCCTCAATGGGCTGGACAGAAACTGAAGGGGAAGATGAAGATGCGGTCGAAAAAAGGGATTCTTTTGTAGGTATTCTCTGAAATGTAATTGACTTGGAGAAGAAGAATTTTATTGGTGGTGAGGGTGACGATGGGATTTTTATGGGTTTCAAGAATCGATTGCTGAAGCGATGAAAAAGGAGAGAGTGTGGGATTTTGGCAGAAATCGACATGGGTTTTGGCTGCCTGATTAAGAATTGTGTTAAAAGAATTTCAGATGAATATCTTGAGCTGTGATGTTGTACAGAGCGGCTGCAGAGTCGAAAGAGGAGGGGGACGAATGATGATGGAATTATTCTCTCTTTTATCCTGTCCAGGGAAAAGAAAAGATAATTATTCAACCAGAAATTTATTAGAAAATGACAAAAATAATTGGTCAAAAAATTCAACTTCAATTGAACTGCAATTTCATCCTCTCAATCAAAGGCCAACAAGTTCTTTAATGGGAAAATTGGGATTTCATTTGCAAAGGGTACTTCTTAATTAATTGTTATTCTATTCGCCTCGTGGAGTCGCGAGGTGGCTATGATTTATTATTTTTTTCACTTTTTCATAAAAACAATTTAATAAATATAATATAAAAAGATAAAGAGTCATTTGTTTGCTTGGAAGAATTAAAGAAAAAAATAAAGTTGAGAAAAGCAAGAAGAAATATGGTAGAGAGATCGAGCTACATGGTCAAAAGGTGCTTCATAATCTTATTTCATATATACCCGCAACTTTTCCAGCAAATATTTCAGAAATAGTTTTACTTTTGATCAACAAACCTCGAAAATTAGAAGTAATCGACAGATGACTTGCACAGAAATTTTTACGAGGCCAAGAATACAGAGCCATTTTGTCATTGAGTACATAAGTTTTATCAATATCCCGATACGATGAAATCTTTTGTATAATTCTTACATCACGAAAAAATAAGATAGCTGAATGCCTCGAACTTAAATGGGAAATACACATTCTTCAATCCGGTATAGTCAAAATTGTTTCAAAAACTGAAATGCAGCACATTTATAGCTAATCAAGTTTCATTCATCATCAGTGCCAAAGTATCTGTCACCAAACTCGCCAATGCCAGGGATAACACGATAATCTTCATTCAAACCAATTTCGATCTCAGATGTCACAATCTTTATTCTGGGGAAATGCTTGCAGACTACATGTACTCCTTGAGGCGCCTGAATAATATGATTATTAACATCTAAGCAGCAATTTATGGTTGAAATGAACACCTGATACGGAAGAAAGCAAAAACTGCAAAGAGGTAAAAAACTTACAGAAATAAGATTAAGGAATATGATATTCGACTCGGGTACTCCCTTCTTTATAAGTAAAGAAATGGCTTGGACTGCAGAATTCCCTAAAATTGGATTCACGATCAGAACATGAAATATGCAAACAATTAGCAAAAACACCAGCTAACATGTGTTTTCTATTATATAGGTAAGTTTTTTACAGCATAAATTTTTATCGACACAAGTAAAACTTTGTAAGACCTTTTCCAAGATACAAATAGCTAACCTGTGCCCAAGATAGGATCTAATAACAATACATGTCTATCTGAGATGTCGTTTGGCAGTTTTTCGTAAATCAGCTGCAAAAGAGATTTTAACGACATGAGGAAATAAAATCAGCAAAAAGAAAGTAAGAGAACAGGATTACGCAGGAACAAGGTAGTGATTTCTTGCTAACCTGCTGACCGTTGTCACCTTCTCTATGAATTAGAATTTTGCCAATCTTGATACCTTTACAACATGCTCGCAGGGCATTTTCCATGCTTTCACCACTGNGCAGAGAGAGAGAGAGTCAGAAGAGAGCTATCGTGCAACCTCTATACCTTCTAATTACAGAGACGCCACATAACCTTTTACAAAAGTCTACTCCAGTGTATACAGATCCTGCATTGAAGAGCACAATGCAGTTAAATTGAATATTAAGAATCTAAGCTGAAATATATAACGCTTATTGGGGGAAAAGTGAGAGAGGTAAACAAGCATAGCGTCAAACCGACAGATAGTTATTACATCTTTTAAGACCTTGCTATATTGACATTTTCAACAAAGAGATGCCTAAGTTACATGCAATTCTGACTTTTGCTTGATTTTGTTTTACTTGATCCATAGAGGTTGTTCTAAAGTCCATTATTAGTTTCCAAAATAACAGAAGAATGAGTTGGAAGAAAGTCAAGGAACCTAGAGATTGATCAATACTGGAGATAGAGAAAATGAGATTAAATTGACTGGATCCGGAGCTGTTCAGGTATGTCCTCAAAACCTAAATTTCACAGCTCATTACAAATTTTATGAGTTTCTCCATTATTAGTTTAGATAATGTTTCAACAATTCTATCCATGACTAAGAATCTGTTTCATTGATGAGAATAATGCCTTGAATGTTCTTGACTGGAAAAGGTAGTAGAAAAATGACAGAAGAAACTAGAGGACATAACACAGGATATTTAATGATAGTGGCGTACCAGTTGGAGTGATCACCTGCTTTTCTGTAAATGGCAGATGTCCAAGTCCATGTTCAACAACCTATATCATACATGAATTCTAGTCAACTAAAGAGTGAAACAAATAAAATTAGTGGTAGCTGTTGCTATTCAAAATATTGTAGCTATATAGCTGTCAATTGAACAGTCATAGATCAAAAATACCTACCAAGCGGATCAACCTATCAGAATAAAAGACAAAATCGTGTTTTGTTGTCTGAGAATCACGTATTAGCGTGTGCATGCCACGTATCTGAATGTAATAATAAATGATCAATGAGGAAAGATCAAAACAAAAAAAAGAAAGCAAGGGATAACAGGACTTTCACAATTAAATGAAAACCTAGATCTGAAGAACAGAGAATCCCAACGTTTTAAATATAAATATATGCACTCCGTTAATATATAACCAGAGAGAGTACCTGGAAAGTTGATTGAATGACGTACAGATTAGGATATATTTTACAAAGATCGTGTTGACCAAGTTTAGTCCGAATATGTTGCACTATCAAATCAATAGCAACATGATTGTCTCCTCCCCGAGGAATGATAATATCGGCGTATTTTTTTGTTGGAAGTATGAAATCATCAAAAGCAGGCTTCACAAATTTTGAGTACTGCACGCAGACGAAGTGCAGCTATAAATAAGGAAATGGATCACTAAGAAACAAAAGTATTAATCACACGAGTACCAATTTGGTAAAATGAATTAAATGAATTCAAAAGGTACCAACACAAAAACAAAGAAGAAAAAAATGACAGAGAGAATAAGATTTTGATGCATGGAATAAATTATCCAAAAAAATTTGTCCATAAACAATTCAAAATTTAGTCCCTTCAACAAACAATAGTGGAAAATGTTTTGGACTCTCTAAATTATGAATAAAGGGCAAAAGAAAATGAGGGACAGCTATTCAGATCTCGCCTAGGGAATAACAGATTGAGTTGATCACCACACCCAGTACTCCAGTTTTTTTCAATTCAGCTTTACAACTTTAGCTCTTGAGGCAAAAAATAAAATTAATTACTCAGTGTTTTTATGAATTAAAACCAGATATAGGGATTCTGCCTGTCATGGCGCCCAGTAGTTTGTTTCGATAGTTTGTCTTTTTAATGGATTGTGAACATAAAAAGCCAAGTTGGAACACAAAAGTTAGAATACGAATTATAGAAATATTTCCATCTAACTTAAATCCTAGTTTTGTTAGGAATTAAAACTTTTCCTTTTAATAATAGGATTTTTATTATATTTCCTTTTTGTTTTCCTTCTATTGATAGGATTGCACTACTATATATAGGATATACTCCCTCCGTCCCATATATAGGCTCACTTTCCTTATTTTCTTTTCCAATTTATGTAGTATTGTTTCTTTATTAAGAATATTTTGTTTTGTTCGTATACTAATATACAATTTTTTCTTGTCCCAATTATATAGTCTTGTTTCTTTATTAAGAATGTTTTGTTTTATTCATTTACTAATATACCCTTATTTCTTTCCTACTTCCAATAATTATTTAATACTAGTTATTGATAATTAAATAAGGGTAAACTAGGAAAGTTTTTTACAAAAATTGCTTTTTCAATAACGTTAAATAAGATTTCTTAATCCGTGTGAAAACAAAACAAGCCTATATAAATGGGGTGGAAGAAGTAATATATATGATTGATTATGCAATAAATCATTCAGCCCTAAGTTTCGAGTGATCATAAACAACTTGCTTCAAATTAGATTCTCGCGGGAGTTCACAATTTTTTGGGATTTTTCCGGCTTAATATCAATTCCAAATTCAGCTAAACCCAAAACTGCTTCTGAGCCTCACTGTATTATTTTACAAGATATCACGAATCATCTTAGATAAGACCATATAAGATAGACATACTGATACGAGACCCTAAATCATGATTATTTTTTCAATAAAATTTTACCTCATTCATGTTATATTATGTTTTGTAGGTAAAACTTTATGTTTAATGAAGAATTGGTAAAAAGAATGCAAAGGTGTGAAAAAATAGCAAAATTCAACTATGAAATCTTGGAGAGAAATATTACATTAAATGAATTCGAGTTAAATGGGTCTCAATAGACTTGCATTGAAAATTTTAATTGGAGGCCCAATTACACTAAATGGGTTCCAGTTATATATATATATATAGACACACACACACACACATAGAAAAAAGGGCAGACAGATACAAACGAGAACAACAGAAAAAAAGCAAAACGCGGCGGCTGGGAGGCAAAGAAACAAAAGGAAAAGTATCAAAAAAAAAGAGAGGAGAGGAAGAAAAGAAACGCACAATAAACAGGGAAGAAAGACGACGGCGAAAGCAGAAAAAAGAAAAAAAAAAGAGAGGAGAAAAAAAGGGGGAAAGTCAAAGGCAGAGAAAACACAGAAAGGAGAGAAAGAGGAGAGAAGAAAAAAAAAAGAAAAAGGAAGGGAGACTGCAAACACTAGAAATTTCACATTTCGTCAATTTTTGATAATATCTTTCCACTTTTGCACGTTTTTATTTTTACAGTATGAATAACTAATTTTCATATTAGGGAAAACAATGTAGTCGACTTGTAATCATGTATTTTTCTATTCAAGATTTATGTGATTTATTCTTATATGTATTTGTTTTACTACAAATTTAATGCATTGAATTACTTGATTACTAATTTGATGATTATGTGAGTCTCTTACGAATCGAGAGGTGAGTTTGAGATTTAGACCATATAGTAAAATCCAATGCATTAATATAACGTGTAGAGATACATATATTGGTTATTGCAGTCATAATATGAATTCTTAGAACTAGTGTTTCGTTGAAGTAAAATTGATTCGCATAGAGATATGAAATTTAATTAGTTAAATAGGCTCAATAAGAACCTGAGAGAGGTAAATTGAATACAATAGAATAATTCGATCGAACACTACATTAGGTTATAAATCTTGAATTAAGAATTAAGGTGATCAATAGATGAAATTGTTATGTCCTAACATTCATCACATATTTGAATCTTCAATTATCCGTTATTTGCAATCTTTTTATAGTTTCAATCAGTTAAAAGTAGTTTTAAAAAAAATAATAATCATCATAATTATTTACTTGCTTTTATCATATAGGAGTTAGAAAAAAATTGATTAAGTCCTAAAGTATTCCTCGTGGGAACGATATCCGGACTCAGAGGTCTACTATACTGCTTGTTACGGTATCGTACACTTGCAATATAAAAACGCAACACACCTATTCGGAATCACATGCATTTACATCCAGAAAAACATTTCCCCAAATAACTAATTATGCATTTACTAAAAAGGTCATGGCATCCGAGGATTATAGAAATATATAATCACATGACCAACTTCAGCAAATTCAAAAATCAGCCTATGACAAATTTATCACTCAATACTATAAAGTAAAAACAAAAAGAAGATCAACAACATGCACTTAAGTGGTGTGAAGTTATTCAAGTAGATTTACTATTTCAAAGAATCAAAATCGTAAAGACAATTACAATGCAGCTTTCAAGAATCAATATCACTATTTTGTATACCTGTCAAAATTAGTTTGTTAATTACATTGAATTTTGAAGGCTTCCACCGAAGCCATATCAAATTTTTAGATTGCTAAATTATCATGTGGTGAATTGACTTATGTTGTAATAATCTAATTAGTCCTCTTCTAATCTTCTCTCTCAGTTTTTTTCTGCTTGTGATGGTGGAGGGGGCATCCAGTGTTGTATCTTCTTTTTTCATTTCACAACTGTTTTGGCCTCTGAACCTTTTGCAGGTTGTGACAGGAATATGTGCTTTGGTGAATAAGTCCTGTTTATTTCACTTTTCTTACAACAGGGAGCGAGATATTTTACATGTAATTACACAGGTGAGAGGTTTTACAAAAATTAGCAAGGTGCTGTGTATTTTCAAAAAATTCAAATATGCGCTGAATATTTTATTACCTGATCGAGAACCGTACCAATATCTCTACCCTTTTCAACTGTGTCACGCCTTATCCTCCTTGCCAGGCGAACATCAGCATCTGCACAGAAAATTCTTATTGTGCAAGTCACAAGAATATAACACAAGTACATAAGTTGATGATAAAAACAACAGGAATGAGAAGAAAAGGAGAAAATGCACAAAATTGAAAAGCCACACTCATGATTATGTCCATCTATCTCTAAATTAAATCTGAGGTAGAGTAGAAAATAGCAACAAATATCATTTTAGAGCTATTTCATTGCAGCCTAGTTCCAGGTCTATCCTTTATATGGCCATAGGTTTTCCAGCACATTTTGGCTTATGTCATCCTTTATATGGCATATTTCAAGGTATTTCAGCACGTTCCTTTGAGCTATTCTTAAATGAATTTTGCCTTCACATAAAGTAAATAAAAACACAGAAATACATACAAGTATGTGTATATATATGTATGTACATATACAAAGACACGATGAGCGTTAATAATACAAGTTCAAACATATATTGACAGTCTGCAAGACAACGATATTTGAAGTTTCTTACATCACATTGTTGCATACATAAAGAAAAAGTCATTTTTGGATAAAAACATGAAAAAATATAAACATATAAATATGGAAAGGAAAAGAAAGAACCTGTATCAACAAATATCTTCATATTCATCAAATCTCGAACACGTGGATCATGAAAAATCAGTATACCTTCCAAAATAATAACATCCGAGGGATTTACCTGCCAGATGTAACACAGAAAGAGGGATGCAAATCAAATAATAAAAAATGAGAAAGGGAAAGGGAAAGCATAATGTGGGCTATCTATCATTTGTACATTTTTTGCTAATATTATGATTCATAGTGAAGGCAACTATTTCAAAGTTACAGGTGAAAGGGTTGTATATCTATTTGCGCATCTATCTTCCAAACCATATCATTGGGAGAAGGCTGGATCTTAAAAACCCATCTTAATAATATTGATATATTTCTTATTTAGGAATGTATTTCCTGAATTTTCAGTATAATGAAATTTTATATTACTATAAAGATAAATAATATTGACTTCATGGATAGCATAATAATTTTATCAACAATCTGAAATTAGAAAATCAGAGATATGGCCCCAATAAAGGCAAATGCACAAGCATAATTTCAAATTTTCTTGGCATATTGTGATTACTTGCTCAAACAGCTTCCTTTTGTAAGCATGGGAATCATTTTATATAGTTTGTGCTCATTGTAACATGAGGTGTCATCTTCAATAGCAGAAAGGAAAATAAAGGAAAAATAGAAAAAATAAATTACCCTTCGAGCAGGGAAGACATCATTTTTATAACTCTTGCGGTCATATTTTGGAATATCTACAGCTTGGAAATGCTTCAGTTTTTCCATAATATGCAATAATTGCTCGGTGTCAAATGCATCTACACTTGAAAAAAAAAATGATGAAAATGCAAGTGCAAAATTGAAGATGATAAATCTAATATTGAGTGACCATTACCTAATAGAAGAAAATAAGAAATTTTCAAATGAACATTATCATTTGTTGTCAATTATTACGTTATATGCCTTTCCAGTAGGGCTTTTTTTAAAGCCTTTATAGTAGTTGCACAATATCATGCTGTCTAAGAGCTAGAAACCTTATCACCAAAGGTGACGTGCAAGACGGAGCTGCAGCAGAGCAATATCTTTTTACTTTGGCAATAGAAGGATAAGTGAAACAAGAACTATATGTTTATCAGGATCAACCCATCATAATTGATAGCTATCAGTAGTCAGTACTAAAGTGTAACTAAATATAATTGAGAAAAAAGAAACATGAGCAATACGTAGCAAAGTGAAGGAGAAAAGAACTCCCACACAACAGCGCAAGAGCTGTAAATGAAGGGTCAAATGCAGACTTCACTAAAAAAATATATATAATCAGGAGCCATGCCAATGGTATGATATCATTCAAGACTTCAAAAAGAAAATGAAACCTATTCATGGACATAAAGAAGACTGGACTTAAAAGGTATGATATGCAGGTCAGAAAATCTAAGACCAAACCCACCAGGATGATCAAAGTTGTATTCATGAACTCTTTTAAGTTCATCTGGATTCAAACTGTGATAAAAGGAGTCCTGCCAAAATATTAACATGGAAAAGTGTATTAGCTGAACTCATAATATGACTATAAAGCCATTAACCAATCATGCTTTAAATAAATAGTATCGGATTATTGAATGACAAAATGTTAACAAGGTGAGGTAGTGGAAATAAGAAGGTTAAAATGGATGAATGGTCACAATAAAAGGGATAATATAAAAAATGAATACACACACATATATATGTCAACAAATGGAGGAGGCACCAAGAGCCCGTAAAGAGAATGACAGCTAGGCCGTTCCATGTACCTAAAGAAGCTCTGTTGCACAGTATCTATACAATCCAAATAGATGAAGTGGAAGAGGAAGCGGTATACCAAAACTAATAGGACCTTTGGTAAAAGAATAAAGTGGTAAAACATATTCATGTAATTGACACCAATTGTATTGTCCAAAAGGTTTAGCTTGTCGTTATCAAGTCTATACCTGGTTAACAAGTACAACACGCTGATCATGTAGCTGCTGAATAATCATATCACAAACTGTAGTCTTCCCAGATGCTGCACCTCCGGCAACTCCTGCAAAATTAGAAACGGTTGAGGTCAAGACCATGAATCTTAAATTATTAAAAGGAAAAATATATAGAGAATACTTTTTTCGATAATAGTAAAAGAAATGACCAACAGCACATCCAACTTATTACGGTATGATACAGAGATGATATATCCTAAATTCACATACATAAAGATATTTCAGAGCCATCAAGATACCCCAGATTTTTATAGTATTTCTAAAGTGAAGTTCAAAGTACAGAGGACCAAGTGTTGGTAAACAGGATATTGTATTGATTTGGTTGATATTACTACTATGATGTAACATAAAATGACAGTTTGGCCATTGTTAACAAGAAAATAGGACTCTTATTATCATAGTGTTTGCACGTACCAATCACGAAGGGTTGCTTGATATTTTCTGTTGTAGAGGTATTTGTTTGCTCCACTTGTGAAATACCTGGCTCTGCATTATCTAAGTGAAATCCAGAAAAATGGGCACCTGATGAAGCTTCTATCAAATCTTCAACTTCTTTTGAACCCATTTGAAGAGCCTTTGCCGCAGGATCAAACAATAGGAAAAGAGATTATATTAGGAACAAGCTTCAGTGCAAGTATTTAGGTCTTTTAGAGATAATTACAATATGGCAAAAGAAAGTATCGAGTTATTGTGCCTAACGTCGTTAGCTGAATAACATACACGCTGATGAAAATTCAGTAAAGATTATTATTTTCTTTCTATGTGACTCAAAAGCAAAGTCTTTACTGTCAAGATATTTTTACTTGAAGTCTTGAAAAATGACTTCTGCATTCTCAGATCAAACAAGACAATTTTCATTCATGATCTAAGGGCTAAGCTTTATTAGTCCATGACATCATTTCTAAGAACTAGTACATTTTTATTAAATTACATGGAAAAGTGGGCATTAACTCCAACATAGGAAAGTTGCATCTCAAACCAAAAACAAAGAAGTGTCTTTTTCACATCTAATTCTATTTTTTGCCTTCCATCAAAAGCTTAATATGATGTTTTAGCACGTTGTCTTTTAAGGTGCCCTTTCAAATAAAAGCTGCTTCTCAACCATTAGATCCATCACTAATCAATCATAACAAATAGACCAATATAAGAATCCCAAATTCCAAACGAGCATAGAATACGAATGTAGCCAAAAGGAAAGATGTTTAAAATCAAAATCCATCTTCTCGAACCCCACTTGCATTACCATCTGCATATGGGATTTTTTCTACACAGAGAGTTTATTCACATACAACGATATTCCCGTTGATCATATTAAAAAAGAAAAAAAATAAATAAATAAAGATTCAGCACATGCCTCCTTCACACGAAGTACATCACATGAAAAAGAAGACAGTCTATCATTCACATGAATGTAACTATAATATATTCATGAAGATCATTGATGTAGATTCAAGAATATACCTCGTGACTTGATTTCAAGAAACCTTCGATTTTTTCGATTCTGTATTGGAAAAATTTAGAAAAATAGGAGAAATATTCAACAAAGACCAACAGTGATGACACTGATACTGATATACGGACAATGTATTTATAGGGAAAGACGATGTTTAAATTCCAAAAATGGGGCTTGAGATTTAGCGAAATTACTAGATGCGCCAAGGTTTTCACATAGTTTCTCCCAAAATCAGAGTTTGCAGTGAAAGTTAAGCGATAAATGATGGAAGTTACAGCTCGGCACCGAATCGGATGTGGGGTCCGCCTTGACAAGGGAGGATTGACCTGACGCAGTGAGTTGTACGGTTGTCGCGAATGAAATTGCATATCCACCGTCGATCATGGACGGCCATCGACGCCGGTCCTACACGCTGCCCCCCGTGATGTACAGGGCGTCGTGGCCATGTACATGTATCTTTATCCATTGTGAAATGTGTGGGCATCAATCAATTGGAAAATTATTTTAAAATGTGTTTAACAATTAGTTCTGAGTTTATCCAAAAGTATGCACATAATTTCTGGTGGGGTTTTGCTACACACCCTCACAATTGGGGGTTGGAGGGGGAGCCACGACCAATAAAATAATCGTGGGTCTCCCTCATAGGAGAGTTGTACATATGAATCGTGTTATTTGTACAATCGAAATTGACAACCACTCACACATGATTTGAGTGGGGGGATAATTTTTTATTTTTTTTAAACACAGTGGGGCCCATCACTGTGAGATATTATCAACCTCGATTGTACAAGTGATGTTTCCTCTCTACACATAGCAAAACCCTTTTTGGTGTGCATTCATTGTTGATTGTTATTACTGTATGCCCAAAGTAATTAAAATCGCAAAAATTATTGATAAAGTCCAAAGCCACTTCGTCCAAGATATAATTCAAATATCATAAGTACAAAGATTTCAAAATATATTTTTAAAAATTGAAAACTTGTAAAAAAAGTTTCAAAAATCTGATGGTTACATTTGTGACAATTAAATAATAATTTTGTGACTTATTTAAACAGGTCAATGTCACACCAAGTCACAATTTATGGACACGGTCACGTACCAATCACATAATGTCACAGTCACAATTATAAATTTAATCACAAATCATACATTATTTTTAGGCCACATTATTTCTTGGTTACAATTTATTCGTTTTATTCATCACAATTACCCAAATAATTGTTACAAACGCTTTTCATTCCACTTCATTACTCAACTATCACCAATGCCAACATCACCCAAACGTTGTTGCCACTTCACCACCACCTGCAACACCGCACCACCTCCACCATTGTTGTCACTTGTCACCTCACCACCACAACCCACATCACCACAACATCCACCTCACCATCATCGCACAAATTTATACACCACAACCCACCACCATGCTACCACCAGTGCACAACATCCATCACACCACCACCAAAGTAGATATGACTAGTGTGAAGAGATCTAAAATTTTCAAATTTGAATCCAGTTCGAGGTTGTAAAGATCAAGCTGGTGGTGAAAATATGATGTTGACCCATAAAAATGGTTACGACACGTGGCCAACAGAATAAGATTTCACGTAAGCTCCTTTATGCGCACGGTAGCACAACATTAGTTACTCATGGCTTTTTCGGTGGGGATGGAAACGGTCGCGAGCACTCGACGGTCAAGTTAATGACTTCGTAAACCAGAAAGTGACATCCGACAGTGAAGTGGTGATCAGAACGTGGCTGAAAAAGTGTATAAATATAGTGATGTGTTCTTTAGAGTTAAGGAGTTCAAGTCAAAAATCAGAATCCCAACCCCTTTCTTACCATAATGTAGGAGTATTTATACTAAGAGAAAAGGAAAGGAGAACCGTTGGATGTAGGGACAAGTGGTTTCGGGCCCCTGGGCAGGTCATCCTTTCATAGGCGTCAGTCGCCAATCCATAGGTTGGCGGGTATTAAATGTTTCCTGTCATGGCAACGTGAGTTGACCATTTGGAGTCTGTCCCACGTCTCATCAATCAATCTAAGGATTTGATTTTGGGGAGATCTCCTCGTAAAAGATCTCGACAGGCGTAGGGAGATTAATGTAGGGTGTGGCGAATGTTGAGTGTCGGCCTTTGCATCCGCCGTGTATGGTGAATGAGTTCTGCTCTTCTACAAAGTGAGCAATAGCGTTTCAGTTTGGGGTATCGGATTCAGTTCGTCCAATACAAATTCAATTCGTTCGCCACGTGGCAGCACGAAATCAGTTAGTGCAACACGTGGAGGACAAACTGGATGGATGAGGTGGAGGGCCTTTGAAGACCCGTAACAACATTTGGTTCGTCATCACTTTCTCCAATGTTGCATTTGGACCAGCTATTTCACCATCTCCCACAAACATAGCAGCGTGATATCTCCCACGACCACCTCTATATCGCATTCTCCAACAAGCCATGGCAACGTTAGGTCTCCCAGAGCCGCCTCCCCATCTCTTTCTTCCGCAAGCCATAGTAATGTCCTCTCTTCCGGAGCTACATATCGATCACCTTCTCCAACAATAAAAGAAAAAAATGAAAACAACGGTCCCTAACCTTTCCAATTTTTACAGACTTTACCATAATATTCATTTTGTACCAACGAAGGTCCCTAACCTTTCATAAATATGTAGCCATGTATGTGGGATTTAAATAAATGGAAAACATTCATTTGACTGTTAATTGACCAAAAAAGTCAGAATTTAATTAATTTTGACCAAACTGAAAATGGTAAAATGATACTTTACATTTTCCTAATTTTAAATAAGTTAAAAAAAATAAATGAATAAACCCAAAAATAAAAATAAATTTATAAACGCACCCCCACCGCCACTCCCCAAATCAAAGACGTCTTCTTCATTCTCGCCCCATCCCCACCAAAAACCAAGCCAAACCCACACAATTGTAGCCGCCACTGCCCACCCATCAGAAATAGCCTCTGCAGCCATAAATTTCATGGCACAATTTGTTTTTCAGTATTTTATAAAGATTGTGGGTATCTGTATAGATCTGTATGTATTTGTATGAATATGTATCTATCTGTGTGGATTCATAAAATAGGTTTGCAAGTGCCAATTTTAGTTAAAAACTGATGCTTTATGTTGTTGGGATTTTGTAGAAATTGTTCAAAGTTGTGTGCTTCTATTGTTGTTGAACACCAAGTTTTGTGATAATTTGAAATACGAGTGGATATGGTTATTCTGTTGAAATTTGATACTAGTTTGAACGCATAATCATTTCACAGCTCAAAGCTAGCGGCACATTACCACCCATTTTCTACAAATCCATCATTGTAATAATTGACGATTGTTGCACTAAAAACTTTTAACAATTTGCTTTCATCTTTATCCTCTAGAGACTTCAAGTGGGGTGAGAAAAAAGACGTGTTCTTTAAATTTTTTTCCTGGCGATTTGACGTGGCGGCAACGATGACGACGACAAATGGTGAGGTCATGGTTGATCGGCCCATCGGCCGACCGTGGAAGGTGGATTTTGATTTGGGGGTTGGGTACGGTAAGGGGGTGGGCTGGGGTGGTTTTATAAATTTATTTTTATTTTTGGGTTATTTATTTATTTTTTGAACTTGTTTAAAATTAGAAAAATGTAAAGTACAATTTTCCCCTTTTCAGTTTGGTCAAAATTAATTAAATTCTAACTTTTTTGTTCAACTAATGGTCAAATGAATGTTTTTCATCTATTTGGACTCTAGTTGCATATTTAAGAAAGATTATGGATCATCCTGGCATAAAATGAAGGTTAAGGTAAAGTATGCAAAAAATGAAAAAGTTAGGGACCACTGCTGCAATTTTTCCAAAATAATAATAATGCAAATCACGATAACATTCATGAGCGATTGAGTTCCGTGGTGTAGGATTTGCTGGGTGTGATAGAGAGAGCAAAGAGTGAGATCATAGAGAGAGGGAAAGGGCGTGAGAGGGGAAGGCGGTGGTTGGCGGGCGAAATTGGTCGGTGTCATAGAGAGAGAAAGAATGATCGTAGAGAGAGGGGGTCACATATATTGGTGTGAGTCTGAGACGGGGGTGGGTAGAATGAGGTGCACTTGATCTTCGGAAGAAATATATTTTGTATTATTATTGAAATGAGAAGTTAAAAATTAGGTATTGGTGTAATTTCCTAATGTTCAATTGGTAGCGTTCACTTTAGTAATTGTGTCATTGTGATTACGAGTTGGATATCCAATTGTTTAGACAATAATGATGATATCTTGTACATGTACTAAATTTGGGATATAAGACTATTCTGTTAGAACATGTTCTCTGACCTTCAATCAAATATTCTACTTTTTCTGGATACTCGATTTCAGATATATATGGATAGTTGTAATTAGTGAATAAGTGTAACTTTCGTTACCGACAATATGGAGTATTGACCATATCAAGGAACAGACCTAAAGCGAAGGACGATAAACGAATGGAATCAATGTTTTCCATTCATGTTGTATACGTCGATAACTAATTTAGTTAGTTGGGCTGTTCTGTTCGTTAATTCACCAGTAGTACATGACGATTTATCCGAACGAGAAGTTATTTTTGTTTCAAATAGAGGAATTGAAATGCCTTAAACTTGAATTGATAAAATCTTACATGAGAAAAGAGGCAAGGTTGAGGTACAAATTAGTATAATCCGTGAATTTAAAATAGAAAGGAAGAATTATGAAAATAAAAGAAATCTGAGCTGATAAATACACTCGTGAATGTGCGGATAATAATCAGTATCAGTTATAGATGTGCAGTAATAAAATTTTTTATTTTTATTGAATTTATAAAACGTTTATAAATTTGTATTTAAATAGAAGTTGAGGACCCGTTTGAGTCTCATTATTTGATAAAGAGTGTAATTTTAAATAGTAGATTGATTAGAAGATGTGTGATTAAAAAATAAAGAAATGTTATGAATTTTTGTATAATATTATTTTATTGAAGAACGTGTAATTAAAAAAATGTATTTTGAAAAAAAAAATAGAATCAAACGAAGGCTGAGTAAGAAATTGTTTCGAATTTTTTAATCGAATAGGGCATTATGCTAGGCGCCTGAATTTTTGCTTCGATAATTACATCTAGTCTCGTACTAATTAATGTAAGAAATTACATTAGACAATTTTACGACTTTAAACAACGATTGGTTTTTTCGTATTCTAGAATAGAGACAAAAATTCATATACTTTATTTAAAGAAAGAAACCATACGGACACGGAAATTTACGGGGAGAGGTGACATTCTTGGATTGGATTATGTGAAAAAGTAGATTAATACAGTGTTGACACTTAACATCTGACAAAAAAATTCGTGAAACTCCCATGTACTTGTAGCTTTGTTGTTATTTAAATTGTTAAACTGGCCAATATATTTTTATTTTTTCGAATTTTCAAATGATATAGTAATAAATTGAGTAAAGTCACAAAAAAATAATGTAAATTATATATGTACGGAAATCCATTCCTTGAAAAAAGACAAGCAAATAAAAAGAAAAAAAGATTCGAAATGGATTGGAAGTGTGAACATTGGCTGGTGGTTCACAAGTTATAATCAAAAGAAAATAGTTATTGGTTAGGAACAGCGTTCTAAAATGCGTAATGCGTTGCGATGCGTCGAGGTCGAGAATCAAGAATCACAAGTTTAGGCGTGTCAATGCGAAGAATAAGCGCCATAATGCGTTTCGTATTTTTAATATTATTTTAATTATTTTTAAGATATTAAATATATTTTTATATAAAAAAAAGATTTTTTACTATATCATTAAAAAAAAGGTTAATTTCAAATTTTTCTTGCGTAATGCGTTGCGATGCGTCGAGGTCGAGAATCAAGAATCACAAGTTTAGGCGTGTCAATGCGAAGAATAAGCGCCATAATGCGTTTCGTATTTTTAAGGCATTAAATATATTTTTATATTAAAAAAAAATTACCAAAAAAAAAAATATATATTTTTGTTCTAAAATGCGCGGACAATGCGCGCCTAGACGCGCATAATGCTGGACAATGCGGGCCTATGCGCGCGCATTTTGAACAAAAAACCCAAAAACGCATTTTTCGCGCATTCCCCGGATTCGACGCTTTTTTCCCACGAGTCGCGCCTAGGCAGCGCATTTGCGCGCCTTTTAGAACACTGGTTAGGAATATTAAAAGATATTCTTCCATACAGTTTAAGTCCCCTTTTGTTTCTCATTTTTCATTCATAAAAATGAAAAATATGACCATTATCTATCACGTCAAGTCATCAATTTCGAATTTCTATCTTTTGTATTGGGCCCAATAACGATTATATTTTTCATTCTCATTATACAATAATAAGAATCAAATGGGCCATAAATTATGGAACAGTCTCTTTTTTGAAGTAAATCAAATCAAAAAAATTATTTTTTATAGATTTTTTTTTTGGCTGGTAGCTTTTAACCATTTATTTATTTTTTATGCAAAATAATTTTTTTTGAGAAAGTGACTTATATTTAAATTTATTGTGTCATATCGGAATCAACATACCGAATATGTCAAAATGCTTTCATTTCAATCTTTCAAGTAATTAAAAAAGGCGAAAAAGAAATTTTGTCTCCATAGTCGTGGACAACGAGAAGACAACAACATGAACAAGTAACATATATATCATTCATTCGTGGTATTATTGAGATCGTCTAAAATTGTGCGCATAGAGATAACAATTTAAAATCAGTGCATTTTTCACTCGTCAAAATCAAACTATTTCATTTTTGTCCTTTACGAAGATAAAGAATAAACAAGAAAAATAAAGAAAGAAAAGTGTGTCAATGATTCAACTCAAACTCAATACGTACAATATGACAAGTAAAAGTGGAATATAAAGAAAAAAGAATCTACTACGACAACTATAGAGAAGATATCATCTATGGATTCAAAAATAAATAAATAAACAATAAATAGAGTATAACCTTCCTCAACCTAAGGTCGATGACGCATTTCAGAAATATATTTGATACGTTAGATTGAATGAGATTAAATATTATTAGGGACGTATATTGGGGGACTGGACAGTCCCCGGCCCATTTAATTTTTTTAGTATGTGTACTTTTTTCTTATTACATATTAGCACGACTTATAGTCCGATCATTAATCCGTCCCTGAATATTAAAATATAAAAATGTTTACTGTACATTTATTTCTTACATCAAGTATTAAGACTCTATTTGATATGGATTTTTGAAAGAATTATGCTAATTGCACATTCCTAAGCCCCGTTTGGTTCCTTTAAAATTATAATCTATTTTTCTCTATTTTCTTAACAACCACACATTCTCCAATAAAATAATATCACATTTAAATTCAAAATTTTTTCTTCTTTTTTAACCACACATTCCTTAAAAAAGCACTAATCCAAAAATTATAATCTCAAATAATTGGGACTAAACGAGGGCTAATTTTATATCTTTTTTGACATTGTGTGAGAATTCAAAAAGTGTTGGTGGGAAAGTTTTTTTTTTTAAATT